TGACCCTTTTTAATTTAATCTTCAAATGACAAATCAATTTTTGAAAAACAGGCAGCAACTTGTTAGAGTGGAAGGAATACCTGGAATCCCACTAAAAGGATTGTTTATTTTCAAGTGTCCCTTTACCAAGAGCACATGAAGGAAACCCTTGATGAACAAGAGATTTTAATAAATGTCTAGAAGATGGGAGACACATGAAAACACATCAGAGAGAACAGTGTGGCCAGAGAAAATAGAGGAGGCAGCTGAAATACTCTGCTTAAATCTAGAGCTCAGACAATCCAACTTTAACCCCTGGGTAGAGGAATGTGGAAGAGGTCTTGCAAAAGAATTAAATGAAATTCTGGATACTGCTGAAGTTTCACATGGAGGTGTTAGCACTCCATAGAAAACCATCCCTTTTCTGACATGTGAGGACCCTACCAGCTCTTAGAACTCCTGCCAACTCTTCTTGAATATGCAACTGATTATGGAAAGGCCCCTTATCTACAGCAACATGCCAGAAGCCAGCTTACTATTTGTAAGTCAGACTGTGGGAAGTCTGACCACTGGTCTCTACAACTAGCCCAGGAAGCCAGGCATTAAACCCTGTAACATCCCCAAACAGCGAGTTGATTAACAACTGCCAGCTTCCCTAATATTTATTCCTCCTTCCAACTTAGGATCAACTGGAGAAAGCCAAATATGCTCCCCTAACCAGTGATGGGGTTCCCACTTCTGTTAGGTCATTGGGAAAGTCATGACATATTTTCTGTTTTTCTATGCAAAAATGCAAGTAATGGTGGCCAACTCCCTTGCAAACTCTGAATAAATAGCTGTTGCTTGTTTTTATTTGGGTGGTCTTAGTTTACTTCCACATTCTGAAACCAAGTGTGTTGGTTAGGAATTCCTCCCTACGAACCCAGAACTCCCCACCAGCTCTGCTATTCAGGGGAAAGAAAGCTCCCATATACAGCCACAGAGGAAACCCACAGCAGCCAGAGAAAAACCCTGCCAAGCCCCTCACTCTTAAATGTAGACAGACAGCCAAAGTCACCAGACCGAGACAACTAGCAGTACACAGGAGAAAATCAAGAAAACAGAACAAACTGACCTTGGGAAAAAACAGGCCATTCAGAAACTACAAACAAGCTTTTTTAAAAAAACTAATCAGATCTGCAGTGACATTTGAGAAGATATTACATCCATAAAACCCAAAACAGCAGACTGTGGAGAACAACAAGAGAACAACAACAACAACAAATCTTGTGGAAATTTAAAGTAGATTACCAAAATTAAAAAGATTGGAAGATTAAGTTAAAAAAAAGAAAACTTCAGATGGAACAGAGAATAGAAAAGACATTCAGAATGTGTGGCAGAATAGATAAGCCACCTTTTGTGACTTTGTGTAGCTAAATCCAGAAATGATTAAAAGTGAGTACCTCTGGCTAGGGGCCCTGGAGAGGAGGCGTGGATGGGCTGGGGCTCTGTTCCTTGCCTTAGAAATCTTTGACCTGTGTGTTTTAGCCACATACATGCATTATTCAGACTCAAATAATCTAAGTGCAAATCTTAAGAGTTCCATTCTACTGCTTAAAACCCATGACTCTGTCTATCCATGTAAAGGATAGAGCTCAGCCTCTTTTCTGACCATGATCTGCCATGAGCCAGCCCTACCTCTCTGGCCCCTACCCTCCACATGCACTTCAATTCCGTTCAGCCTCCTACCTGCTGAATAAAACTCATTCCACACAAGCCTTATGAACTGGAACTGAGGGGTCAGACTTAGCTGGTTTCAAACCTGCTTATGTCGTAACTTGAATAATGAGGATAACAAGAGTACCTGGCTAGGCTTTTGTGAGGATCAAATGAACTAACACATGTCACATGCTTAGCAAAGCTCTGGGCACATGGCAAGTAATTAATAAATACTAACAGTTATTTGGACTTCCAGAACTGGCTTGCTCTATCCATCCCAATTTTAAACCTACTTTGGCTATTCTTTTACATTTATACTTAAAAACACTAAAACAGGATTATTAAACTCCCAGTTTTATTACCAAGCATATACCCACAGACACTTCATCTAGTTTTCAATTTTTTAAAAATAGATGTTTTTGCCTTAGTGTGCATGTGCTCACCAGAGAGAGACAGAGACAGTGAAAGGGAAAGTGAGAAATGACCCCCCAGGGTAGATGGCCATACCACAATCCCTTGTCCTCCATTATCTTCCTTGGATCTTGGCCATACACACATATGTGCCTGGTGTCATTTTCAAGCATCCAGGTCCAGTACTCAAACTATGGTCAGTAGTAGTTCAGTGCTATGCCGTCTGCTGAGCCCATAGTCTTCTATTCTTTTTTTTTTTTTAGG